GCCTAAATGTAGAACGTTACTCTTCACTATTGAATTTCATTTTATTAGATAGTGCCCAATGTTCAAGTTTGTCAAGATCCTTCTGTATTTTTAGCCTGTCTTTTAGAGTGTTTGCTGTTTCTGCCAGCTTGGTGTCATCTGCAAATTTGATGAGTTCCCCATGTATTCCCTCATCCAAATCATTGATGAAGATGTTGAAGAGTACTGGACCCAAAACAGAGCCTTGGGTGTTGAATTGGTGATATATTAAACCCATTCGATTATTCTGAGCATAGTAGCATTAATACAGTACTAAATGGCATACTCTCCCAGAACTTCGGTAGGGGTATGCTAAAGCTGATCCTTGTACTTGAGAAACCAAAGAGCCAATCTCATATTTTTGGGTTAATATAACAACATCAAGAATATGCATTTAGCATCAATAGGAAGCAATTCTTAATAGCAGTTCCAGTTTAAATTTAATATATATATTTTATTCTTTGTAAATACAATGGTTACAACCTTAACTTCACAAATCAGTTAATGCACTTTTGTACAAGAGAAGTTTATTCGTTCTAAGATATTTCAAGTGCTGATTTTCCTTCCTCAGTGCTATTTCCTAAAAACAAAAACTTTGAAAAGTACAGTGGTTATTTCCCCTCCCCCCCCCTACATTTTAATACTCTCGACTTAAGCAGCTCATAAATGTGCTTGGGGTGGTGAGGATTAGAAGCATATGAGAAAGGTTTTAATGGACCTGGAGGTTTATATATGTATATTTTAAAAATCTACAACAACCTTCCCCACCTTAACATCTAGTCCTAGCCAACGTGACCCATAAGTGGAATGATGTGTTTCCCCAGACAGCATCAGGCAGACTAGAGAGTTTCAAAGATAGTTATGTTTGATGTATTGATCAACTGCTCTTCCAATAATACATAATATTTCCATTCTTTTGTAAGATGAGTCCCTTCTTATACATCTCATTAACAAAGAGTTTGGGCATCATTGCCTTTGGTTTCAGCCTTATGCCAGTGGAACAGCGATGAATTCACTGTGTCAGTCCTCTCCATTTTTTTTTATTTGGTTTTGCTGTTTAGTCTCTTAATGTGTATTTTTCTTAAAAAAGGAAAACTCTTTTTAAAGCTCTTCTGTCTGACATATTAAACTGAAATGAAATGATGTCAAGATTTAGGCATGAAGTCCACCATTGGTTTTTAAAAAAACCTTAAATAGCAGGCCTGGCAAATTTGAATTCAAAAGGTATTTGCCAGAGTACACCCCTTAAAAATTCATTGCAAAGGCCACTTTTATTATGTTATAACTGACACAAATGTTTGGATAATCTAGTATTCAATGTTTCCTTTCATGTAAAAAGGGCTCACCAACAAACTAGTTTAAAAAAATGCACATATACACAAATCGTTGAAGGCCACCTCATGACACATTACAACAGAATAACGTTTGGTTACCCAACTTTTTCAAAGTATGGAATAAACAAACCCTAGAGATTTCTTTTGCTTCAGCTTGTCCTTTTTCCCTGTTAAACTGTGATTTTCCCCAAACCCGGATCTAGGAACAACAGTGGAATGGGCAGCATCAAAGCTGCAGTGGTGGGAACAGTTGTCTAGTTCAATCAAGCTCCATTTTAATATGTAACAGTATTTTCTCCCAAACTCGCAAAATGATCTCTATCGATTGATTTTGTTGTTGGATTAAATGTCTTCAGGATTCCATTTCTTGTAGAATTATCTGATGTTTGCTCTCCATTAGTTAAAAAGGTCTTTAGAAATGATCACCTGGCTTCTCTTCGTTGCCTCGCATCTGATCTATATGTCACTGGATTTATACATATCTGAAAGCAGTCTTGTAATTGGCACATTCCCAATTGTTTTTTTGAAAAATACTTCTTCTATCGTTGAGGGGCTAATTGAACGTAAGGCTGGCAAGAGCAACAGCAGTTTCCCAAAACGACACGGCTGGGTAGGATACCTAGAAATCAAACGTGGAGGTTATTCAGTGGTGGGTTTCAAAATTTTTTAGAATCTCTTCTGTAGGTGTGGCCTGCTTTGTGGGAGTGGCTTGCTGGCCATGTAACTGGGTGGGAGTGGCTTGCCAGCCATCTGACCGGCTGGGAGCGGTTTGCCAGCCATATGACTGGGTGGGCATGGCCAACTTGTAAAATGTGGTGAAACTCACTTAACAACACTCTTGCTTAGCAACTAAAATGTTGGCTCAGAAACCGGCATTTGAAGCATTCAAGTCTTAAAGCTGTCAAGTTACAAGACCCTTGTCTTGTAACACCCAGGGGTGTTCAAACTTGACAGCTTTAAGACTTGTGGACTTCAACTCCCAGAATTCCTCCTCTCGCTCTTCATCTTGATGATGTACGGACGGGCTGGGTGAGGGAGCTGGAACTGGTTCTAAACGGCACTGTAGATTTGTGGAACCTCTTCTATAGAAGAGGTTAGAACTGGCAGGAACCCACCCCTGAGGTTAATCCTACTAACAATAAATAACATTGATAACCATGTTAAAGCTATAGATCCTTTCTCTTGATAAAAGCAAACAAAATGCCAACTCTACAGCTTTATTGTGCTTTTAAACAGAAAAGGAAATAATTCCCCTTGATTAGTTATTTCTACATTCAGGGTCAGCATGTAGGCCTATATATCGGAGCAAGCTGTTAAAAAAAAGGCTTTAGCCTAAAATATTAATTGTTCTGCTTAGAAGAGGAGATTTTATTATAACAATTTATATATATATTATGACTCTCCTGCAATTTATTATGTTGATGGGTAATATTTAAGTAAAGGTATCAATCCCCCCCAAGTCAACATACATATAACTTAAATATATACATTAGAATTCAGAGTCCTAAAAGCCATCCAAATGCCAACAGAATTAAAATATCAAACTAAAGCAAAGTCTCTTTGCCAAATCAAAGCCAGTTGGTAGAGGCAGCTCACTTGGAAGCCTTCAAGAAGCATCCTAAAGGGCCAAAACAATGCAACCTGCTTTCAAAGGCTGCTTCTTCCTTTTGAATCCCCCTTCCTTCTTGAAAGGCTCCTCAACCTCTACAACCAGGGTGCATTTATTTCTTACAAAGGTAGGGCTAGGGTATCCTTACCTCGTGTGAATGTAGCTGTTCAGGGTGAGCTGAGCTTCATCTTGAAGAGCTGCAATGGCGGCAGCATTCCGGAAACTTCTCAGTTCAGAACCGCTGTGTGTAGGTACTGCAAGCAGACAGTCCACTTACTCAGTGAGATAACCACTCTTTGCATATTACCAGGACAATCAAGTCAATCTTGGCAGCATGGCTGCACTTCATTAGCTACCAATTTCATAATAGCGCTAGATTAATGGAGCCAGCTATCTAGGTCTGAGGCACTGGCAGGACAACTCGCCTGGAAAACTGGGAGCACCAATGTTTTAAGAAACAATTCTATTTGTTTTCGTTTAACTTTTAAGAAAGTGCTACAGCTTGTTTGCAAAATTTCAGTTTTGAAACACCAGCCAAACAGATGGTAAACATGAGATTCTGAAGCTCTTGACTTTAGCCAAGCTTGAGTGGTTTCTGGATTATCAGCATACTTCTGCTGAGCACACACGCTTATGTGAAGCAGGCAGCCATGGGGTTATCACTGGGATGTAAAGAAATAGGACTTTTCCATACATCACAGATTACACGTTTCTCATTTCCTTTACTGCTTGCTGTACCCTTCCACAGGATTACTTGATTACTTTTAATGCCAAGTTGTTGACGGGGATATAACTTTCCTGTTAATATAAACAGGAACTGATATTAATATGCTAATTTCTCCAATACCTGTAATTACTTCCTTAAAAGAGCAACCAGGTTGAAACTAAAAGTAAAATTAAACTAAGCTAGTAGCAAAGATGGGCACATTTTTCACATTGGAATCTCTTTGCTGCCTTAGTTGGTGGGGGGATCTATTTGTTGCAGCATGATCATTCAAGATGTTCCACAATTTAAAATTGGGAGGGAGGTCACCAAGTTACGAGGCACAGCGGCTTGATACATGCTAGTAATTCTTTCTTTATATTCTTCTTACCTGCTTTGAAAGTGACAATACATTTGAGGCAGGCAAATTCTGTGGCATCTAACCGGAGCTGTCTAAATCGAGCCACCACCTCCTGCAATGCTTGTATTTCTGAGATAATCTTATTCAGCTTTTGAGAATCTGTGTTGTCACCATTCATGCCTGGAAAAAAAAATGTGTGAAATGAATACACTAATAAGTCATTTGAAGTAATTTGATAGATTGATTTATTTTTTTTAGAAGTATCAATAGCCATGCCATTGTTACTTTCTCAGATCTGCTTCGACACAAAACTGACGATATTGTCGGAAAGTTAGTAGAAATCTTTTCTTGGATGATAACAAACACAGTAATTTGCATTTAAATGACAATGCAAGCAGTCCTGAATGCAACAAAACAACATTATTTGCATTTAAATATAGATTTATAAATGACAGGTATACTCTATTGTTTGGAACGGATTTGGTATTCTTTACATGTTGTCTTGTTTTCAATAATGTATTTTTATGGTAATTTCTATAACAAAGTCATTAAATTGTGCAATTCTTACCCGATACAGCCAGTAGAGTGTTAGCATCAACTGGAATGGCCCATTGTGCTATTCCTAGAACAAACAGTTCTCTCCAAGCATCTTCCAAAAGCATCAGCTGTCATACAATAGAGGTACGATATAACATGGTGTATAATTTATAGATTGGTAAACAATTTCAACATGTAAATTTCTGCTGTTGGGAAAAAAAAATAGCCTTAAAATGCCCATACTTACTCTTTCCCCACCCCACCCCAGCTTGGATTGTTCTAGTTATCCTTTCATCATTTTGAGGAAGAAGAGTCCGCTAGCATCCAGAAATATTAGCAGATCCCCAGATTATGAAACTGGGTTTGTTGGGATGATGCTCTTCCCAGGGAGGTACTGTGTAAAAACAGCACATGTTGTCAGGACTTCCCCCTTGAACAACTGACCCATATCTCCATGCTTTCTCTAAAGTTGCAGTCACCCATCCAGGCTCTTTCTTTTCCGGCCATTAATAATACATTACAGCTGAATAGAACAGAACATGATTTGTATTCTTGAAGCTGAGTTAACTTCAATCAATTATCTCTGCTTTTGCAATCCAGCTTTCTTGTGAAATTGACCAAATTGGCTAAGCAAATTACTACTATACAAATATTGCTGGCTTCAGTAGGGGAACCTCTTCTCTTTGGGCAGTAGCATCCTTCCCTCAGTATAGGACAGGTTGCTCCTGGATGATGGATTACCACTGCTTTCTTCAGTCCAAATTTGAGAAAGCTAATTCTAACTGTAAATCCAATGAAAACCCCACACAGTACCCAGTTTGTCCATTTGTTATAATGGGACATATTTCCCAAACATAACTTAAGGAAAGGTTGAAAGAGGGGGAAGAACGCTGTGTGTATATGCTTGTGTAAACAAATTAAATATCTAAATATCAAGGTCAATGCATCCTAATGCTGCTCCCCACCACCACCACTGAATAATACGTTGCCTTGGAAACTCCCATGGGTAACTATGTCATTTAACCACCAGATCATTGAAAAACTGGATGAAATGTTTTTTTTTTAATAAACTTATCTGACACGATGCTGCCTAATTTCCCTATTGGTTTAGGAAGAGTAGAAAACCTGAACATTTCTATGTTCTCATGATGCTTTTATGGGTAACTGAGTCATGGTTTACTCTACAATTTTTAAGTTAACGCAGCACACTAAATTAACTCCACAGGTTAGGTTTGTAGAGCCTCTTAGACTACAATGTGGTTGGAAAGTTTATGGTTTAGCATACTAAGCAAGTGAAGCCTCTTAGTCTTTGATTGCCTGTTTCATCTAAGAATGCTTTCTTTTTGCCCCCTTTTTTTACAGCAAGTGTTCCCTATGAAGTCAACAGGTCTAAGAGCCCTTATTATGTTTGGGTCACAAAAATTGTAACTGTTGTTCAATCAGCAGGTCTTCTTCACAACTCCAACCCCTCAGTTCTTATCCCTATCTCATGTAGACAGATCTTTTTGAGCAGATTTAGCTAAAAAGGCAGAAAAGACCAGAGCTGGAAAGGAGGAACAATTTAATGCTTTGGTGGTTATCCATTAACTTCTACCATTGCTGTTGTCTGATTACAGCCAAGGTATGCCCATTTCTAGCCAGGCCTTCCTTTTAGGCCCTCCAGAACTCTCATTTAATTCCACCACTTGAATATTAATTTTGCATCTTTTGGGAGGAGCAAACATGTTTTATTTTAATATCCCATGCCACTAAATCCTGTCCTTATTTGTATATATAATGTGGTCTCACTCGCTTTACATTTTCTTTTTTCATAGCAGTTGTTGCTCTTCACAAAAACATTAAAGTATGGCTCTCAAGCCCCAAAAGATAGGACGTTCTTCTTTTGTGGAACTCAGAGGTGGATGGTTGCCTTTGTGCTTGACTTTTAATTTGCAATAATCCTATTGAAGAAGAGATTTGTCCCCCTCCAACACATGCCAAGATGCTGAAGTAGTCACCTTGCAAATATTTCCCTTTCTACGTATACTTCAAGCAATTGTAATTTATTCTCGTAAGCATAACTGTGCAGTTATAACTCCCATTAAACCCAGTAAATTTGCATCCTAGTGTAGGGGCAGAAGCTTGAGCTTCAAACAGCCCACTAGTAACAGCAGAAGAGTAACTCTGTCATTCTTTCTGTCTCCCTCATTATTGTCTATAATTATTGAAACAAGAATCTGCATTTAAGAGAAGTGGGAGAACAATAGAGGGAAGAAATGTTCCAATTGCAGCCTGTAATTCTCAATTTGGAGTAAGCTGAAACTTTGCATCTCACAGTCTGGTCTCAAAACCTAGAGGGGATAATGGTGCAGTTAATGAAATCCTTGGGCTTTAAAAGGGTGGATTAATTTCACATAACAACTCATGAAACTCGCCTTTAATTTTGAGTGCTAAATATGCAGCCAGTTCATTTAAAATGACAGGATAATCTGATTCCTGACATGGATAATAGGCCTATTTCAAAGAGATCTGTTCAGTGATAAGTTTAATCTGCAGTAAGCCATTCCTAGTATATTGATGGGACTCTCATTTCTCTTAAATTCCCCCACCTCCCTAACATGGACATGCCAATACACAGGTATTTCTCAGTGGAAAAATTACATTGGAAGATGTTCTGGTGCTGTCCACCTATTTGAATTTCAAAAACTATCTTTAAAGCTGGGATATTTTAGATAGTGATATATTTGGAGAGGTCCAGATGGGAGAAAGATTAATTTCTGCACTAGCATATTTGTGCTACAACAACCGGAACCGCCACCAGATGGCAGCAAAGTGATACATAAAACTCTTACCTCTGTGCTGCCATCTACTGATTGTTCTGATATTTGCAGCCCAGGTTTGATAGCCTAATAATAAGGAAGCAAATAAAATCACATCCACATACTAGGCCTTTTAATAATATACTGGGAGTGTCACTGCAGAGAATAAATGGGCGGGGGGGGATTGAAATATAATGCAATTTATTAAAGTACCATTCGCATGATTATTTTCATTAAATTAATAATTCCCCCTTATTTGCATTAAAAATACACAATGAAGACAGAGGGCTGAATTTTCTGAATTTTCAGTTTAGGCAGACTACATCTAACAAAAATCATCCATGTAAATGTCATGGGGGGCTTTAGAAGCATGGGAAGGTGGGAGCTAATTTAATAAGACATCTGTACGATACCCTTAAAGCAGAAATCAACAAAGATACTAGCAGTTGCTGCTTAAAGCTCACAATACTTCTTATGCATCACAGTTATTATTCATAATAAATGGCCATCACTAAAACCAGCTCAAATTCAATGTGATTACTTAAAAAGATCGAGAGAAAAACACCTTCCACTTTGTAGAAACAGAGTTAACTTAACCAAATCCATTAGATTACCAGACCCACAGAAAGTTGGCCTTGTCTACATTTTTGGTTGCAATCAGTGGGAGGCAGGAAAGACAGACATCATCCTGGCCGATAAGAATGAAGTGCTATTGGACACCCGTTCAGATGCAGAGGGTCCAAATATAATTCATTTTGGGAATGCCTCCGTCGAACTCTGGATCCAATCAAAATGATATAAGCTGGGATCAAACTCAAATGTGGTTGGCCACTTTGTGAGTCATTGCACTGTAGCAGGGAAACTAAACTGGCAGGAAAAGAAGAAGTGGAACAGGAAATGCAAGCAGACTGTTCTGTTCTCCAATTTAGAGAAATTGTGTTATGGGGGGGAGGGGAGGATTTCCCAAAAGGGTTCCACCACAAAACCGCGGTCGACAAAAGCGCGTGTCACTAAAGCGCGGTGACAAAACCGCGCCGTCAAAACCGCGCGACACCAGCGCGCCGACAACAGTGCTCCGACAGAAGCGCGCTGTAACATAACCCTAAAAATACCCCTAACCCTAAACCTAACCCTAACCCTAAACCTAACCCTAAACCTAAACCTAAACCTAAACCTAAACCTTACCTTAAGTTAAATCGCGCTTCTGTCAGCGCGCTGTTGTCGGCGTGCTGTTGTCGCGCGCTTTTGACATCGCTGTTTTAGCGCCGCGGTGTTGTTGGCGTGCTTTTGACTTTCGCGGTTATGTCGTGCCACGCCCAAAAGAGAACTGGCAGGGATTGCTGTTCTCCTACCCATTATCCACTGCTGGAGGCCACTGCCCAAGTCTCAATCTGCTCCCTGGACTGAATTTTTTTTGTTAATGGCGCTTTAAAAATTATTCCTTCTTCCTAAAAATCCACTTGCCAGAATTTGTCCTTAAAGCCTTTCAATATATATATAATCCATATATTTATTGTTCTAACCTAACCTATTCTGTATCCTTTAAAATTAATCTGAAGATAAAGCCACATAGCATCCAGCCTGATTTTCTATTGCAACACAAGTCTGTGCCAACAGCTCTCAATCAATCACCTTCATGGGGTGCTACATAGTGAGCTGGCCCTCTGCAAAGGGAATCTTGTTGCACTATGCCAGAGATTTCAAGCAGGCGAGCCAGGCTCTCTGCTATGGAAGAAAGAAACTGATCTCAAGCAAGTTTTTCAGACTAGGTTTCACAGACTAAGGGGAACAAACACCACCCCCCCTCCAATGCATTCAGCCACTCATTTCTGACTCATGCTACTCTTCCCCCTAACACTGGCTGTACATGGCAGCATTTGCAAGGCTCCATGCCAGAGGCAACTGGCTACCTTTCCCTCGCCTCACACACATACACAAAACTCTATTCTCTGCCCACCCCAAACCTCCACAAACATTTATCACCCTCCAGAACAAGAAGGGCAGTGAGTTAGTTCCTTCTTCTCTCTTTGCACCTTTCAGTGTTTATGAAGCCGGCAGATGCATCCCCTTTTGGCTGCCCTATGATTTTATTATCTATTTTATTATTAATTCTTGTTTTAAAAAATCTGGGGGCTGGCTTGAATATTTGCCAAAGGAAAAGATGGGGAATAAACCACACAAATCTCTTCATTTGGTCAGTAGAGCACCACTGATCCCAAGAAGTAATAGCAATAGCAGTTAGACTTATATACCCCTTCATAGGGCTTTCAGCCTTCTCTAAGCGGCTTACAGAGTCAGCATATTGCCCCCA